TATATATATATATATATATATACACACACACACATACATACATACATAATACATATATATATATATTCAGTTGTTCATACATTTTTGATTACATTGTAACTTAAAAAAATGATAATAATCTTATACTCTTCTAAAGAGATTTTTGTGAACTGTCTGGGGCCATTATTATTGTTGAGGTATGACAATACAACTTTTGTTTAATTGATAAAGACATTTATATTAAAGGGGTCATGAACTGAGAAATCAAAATTCCCTTCATCTTGTGACATATAAGGTCACTGTACTATAAAAACATCCTGTAAGGTTCAGAACTCAAAACTTTCTTGTTAGTCTAAAAACAGCTTATAGGGAAGCCAATCTGCCAAAATGACAGCTTGTGGAATGAGCCACTTTATGATGTAATAGTGGCTAACCCCCGCCTCCACAGAAGATGATCAACGCCTGCTTCTACATCACTGCCTGTTTAGCTCCGCCCACCGATTCGCATATGTAGTGCAAATAACGAGAGAGGCAAACGCAGGTCTACGCAGAAACCAAACGATAAAGTTGCTCTGCAGAGCCACGTTGTGGTCTTTTCATTGCCTTCCTTCTGTCATTAAGAAAGAGTGGATTAACTTTATTTTTAATGAAGATCCAGATCGCATCAGTAAGAACTTGGTCCTTTGTTCACTTCATTTCACCGCGGATTCGTTTACAAACAAGGCACAATTCAACGCAGGATTTTCAGAAAGACTGAAACTAAAAGAAGATGCTGTGCGGAATATATTGGATCCGACAGTAATGTGTGAGTAACTGTTTTTATTACATGGTCACTATTGCTTTGTCTGTTATTACAGATCGTTTGATATGAACTGAGTATTTATGCGTTTTTAACTTAAATCACAGCGTCCATCTATGAACACAACTATTAGCCAATCATAGCGGTGGGCGTTTACTTCTGAGTCGACAATCCGCGACGCCTATTCAAACAGAGCGTTCTGACGAGGGGGGTCAAAACAGGACAGAAAATAGCCTATTCCTTCTGAATTATGTTTTTTGATGTAAACATCTTGATAGAATTATAAGTGGACCTCAGAGAACAGTACAAAATAATTTAAAAAGTCAGTTTATGACCCCTTTAAGTGTCACATTTCTCTTTAGCAGAACATTATTAATTTGAAATCAAAGACTTACTTTCATTGTTGAGAGTGTTTATAGCATCATCTACTATGCAGTCTGGAGCGAAGCCCTGGGTTTTTGATAATAAACCCAACAATGAGGCGATCTTCAGCCTGACAGAGTTATCCGACTCCTGTAGACCACATCACCACAAACACACAGGACACAGTTATTAAAAAAGCAATACATAATCTTACTTTCATCATACACACACAAACTGGAATTCGCATGCGTCTCATTTTAAAATGTTTATGTGCTAAATATTTAATATCAATATTAGGTGACGTGTATCAAGTGACATGTTTCATGTTCTGTTGATACCTTGTAATAATGCTCGAGCAGTATGCGCACGACCCCCTCCACACTCTCAGCCTCCACAGGTTTACGTGCGAAATGCAGCAGGTACTGCAGAGCGTCTGTGGGGCTGGTGGCTTTACACAGGTCTATGTGAAGAGCGGCTGATTTACTGGGTTTGGTCAGTCGAAGCTTTTTCGCAGCTGCAGGAACCTCCTCAAGAGACACCTGCTGCAAAAAAACTAAAAACCTTAATCAATAGGCCCTGACATACACTGCTGTTCAAAAGTTTGGGATCAGTAAGATTTGTAATGTTTATTTTTTTTAATGAAGTCTCTTCTGCTCATCAAGGCTGCATTTATTTGATCAGAAACACAGAAAAAAAACAGTAATATTGTGAAATATTATTGCAATTTAAAATAACCGTTTTCTTTTTTAATGTACTTTAAAATGTAATTTATTCCTGCGATGCAAAGCTGAATTTTCAGCATCATTACTCAAGTCTTCAGTGGCACATGATCCTTCAGAAATCATTCTAATATGCTGATTCAATATCAATATTGGAAACAGTTGAGCTGCTTAATATTTTTTTGGAACCCGTGATACTTTTTTCAGGATTCTTTGATGAATAAAGTTAAAAAGAACAGCGTTTATTTAAAATAAAAATCTTTTGTAACAATATATACTAGCTGGTTGTCCTGCATCTTCAATAAACAAGCTACAGGTAGTCCAAAATGAACCAGAACTCGAAAGACTTTCGAAACAAACCTCAAAGACCGATTATACAGTGGGTACGGAAAGTATTCAGACCCCCTTAAATGTTTCACTCTTTGTTATATTGCAGCCATTTGCTAAAATCATTTAAGTTCATTTTTTTTCCTCATTAATGTACACACAGCACCCCACACTGACAGAAAAACACAGAAAACTGAAATATCACATGGTCCTAAGTATTCAGACCCTTTGCTGTGACACTCATATATTTAACTCAGGTGCTGTCCATTTCTTCTGATCATCCTTGAGATGGTTCTACACCTTCATTTGAGTCCAGCTGTGTTTGATTATACTGATTGGACTTGATTAGGAAAGCCATTTGTTTCTCTGTTTCTGCTGGGATTAACATCCCGTGGTAACTAGGATTTACACAAGCTTCAGTCTGGATCCAGAACACCTGAGAAGAGATGATGCAACCCCTCAGAGGACCTCAGATGATGCCAACCCTGAAACAACATACAGAACTACCACATTTTGCTATAAGCTTGATTGCATCATATAATAATTGCTGTTAATAGTGTTCATCGTCTGTTTTATTACGTCTTAAATTGATTTTTCCGTACATTTCTGCCATATGTACATTAACTGACAGTCACCACTGATAAACTACCACTAAATATTGTAGAAACTTAATTTGCTGTAAAGTTGCTTTGCAACGATTTGTATCGTGAAAAGTTGACTACCGCTCCAAAAGTTGTCAGTAATTTTTTTTTTTTTTAATGAATGCTTTTATTCAGCAATGATGTGATAAACTGATCAAAAAGTGATAATAAAGACTAAATATTGTTAGAAAAGATTTCTATTTTAAATAAACGCTGTTCTTTCCTGAAAAAGTAACACAGGTTCCAAAAAAAATATTAAGCAGCACAACACAAGACTGGAGTAATGATGCTGAAAAATCACAGAAATAAATTCTATTTTAAAGTATATTAAAATAGAAAACCATTATTTTAAATGGTAATAATATTTAACAATATTACAGTTTTTCTGTATATTTGATCAAATAGGCCTAAATGCAGCCATGAAGAACAGAAGAGACTTCTTTCACAAACATTACAAATCTTACTGATCCCAAACTTTTGACCAGCAGTGTAAACACTGAGAAAAGCCTGAATTCACTTACTGTGTTAGTCTCACACACAACCCACGAGGTAAACATGCATTCGAGTTATTTTCATTATCACACAATCTGAGAGTTTACTTATCAAAAGCAGATCAATACACTAACAGCAAGTGCTGGCTATGAGATGTTATTGTTGCAGAAAATAAAAAGAAAAGCACACATATGCGCATTTAAACTTTCCTCGACTAAAAAGATTTCAAATAAAGCAAATAACAGCCAAATAACATAAATGTACAAATTAATAAATAGCTGTTTGTCATTAGAAAAATAGTTAACACACATAATAACACTGATGCTAAAGGCTACATCTGCTTTACGTGTATTCTAATATTGTCATTATAGTATTACAATTATATTCTATGACCAGCACAATAACATGACATTTTATAACCAGTATATGTGATGTTTTCTATGCTCACCTGAGAAACTTTAGAGAATTCCTCATAAACTCGTTTCTTCAGATGAGCTGCCATTGCTGTGTTTATCGCGCTCCTGCGCTTCTTCGCGCATGCGCTGTTCGGCGGCGTCAGAAGTGTGCGGCGGAACAGCGACACCTCATGGACGGAAGTCTTCAGAAATCACACGAGGACAGTCCTGGGATTGAGGGCTTTCCATAGGGGCTTTCCTTTTAATTAAAAAAATTCAATGCATTATACATAATATTTTTTTTTATGTCATAATATTATAAACAACCTATTCTGATTTTAACTAGACAACAATAGGACAGATACAAATATTCTTGATATTTTTTTTCTAAGCTTGACCCCCTGAAACTCTGCACATGAAGAGATGATTAAAGATTTCAGTATCTTTTTTTAAAGAATTCTAACATATACCGTAAAATATAAGATGCTATAATGACAACATGGACTAGAATAACAGACTAGAAGCAACACATAAAGCAATCAGTAAATGTTAGACAATGTAACACGTAATCAAGTTAGTTTATTTTTTTCATATCCTGCTTTCTATAAACATATGCAGTAATAAGATCCCGCAACAGTAATTCTGCTGGAAATAGCACATCACTTTTTCTTAATAATATTTTACACCTTTAATGATCTGCACAAGGAAAGGGTTCATCCTAAGTGACTTTGCAGGACAAATAAACACATGTACAAAACAGACATATTATTTACACGTTTACACAAAAAAAAATAAAGAGATAAAAATGTTGCTATATGAAGTGGACCTGTTTTTACATTCTTATATAATGCATTAGGAATACATGATCAAATGCATACCTTGAATACAATGCAAGCCACTTTGGATAAAAGCATCAGCCAAACGCATAAATGTTAAAAGTCGCATGCATAAAATGGTGCAATTCTCAGATATGGACAAATAAACAAGCCAAAAACATTCCTTGCTAATTTCAAGTGTTGGCGGTTAAAGGGGTCATATGATGCGATTTCAAGTTTTCCTTTCTCTTTGGAGTGTTACAAGCTGATTGTGCATAGATAAGATCCCTGAAGTTACAAAGACTAAAGTCTCAAAACCAAAGAGATATTCTTTATCAAAGTTAAGACTCTGCCACGCCCCCCTAAAACGACTCGTTCTAACACGCCCCCACATATCTACCTCACTATGTGGAAATATTAGCATAATGCCACCCAAATGTTGACACAAAGAAAGAAGGCGTGGTTTCAACAGAGAGAGAGAGAGAGAGAGAGAGAGAGAGAGAGAGAGACGGTCACATACCAGCTTCATCACTGTGTCTGTCACGCGACTCTGTTCCCCTTTGGGGCTCTGTCTTTACATTTATTTTGAAAGATGAAGCTCTGATTATGGTAAGGGGCGTTACATTTCCGACGAGTGCTTACGGTGTTCGGCCAATCACAATGCACTGGGTCAGCTGGCCAATCAGAGCAGACTGCGCTTGTCGGAAGGAGGGACTTTGTAGAAAACGAAGCATTTGAGAGGCGGGGCATAGAGGACCTACAATAATGTACAGTATTTGAAAAATAATGTGTTTTTTGAACATTAAAGCATGTCAACATATTCTGATACACCAAATACACAAAATAATGATCTTTAAAAAAGCATCATATGACCCCTTTAAATGAAATGCAAATTAATGTCTGCAGCATCTGTGATCAACAAAACTACACACATTATTTTAAGTGGATTTCTGCTGTATTAACATTCTGTTGTAATCCAAAGCGTGCCACAAATCCTGCTGATAAAACTTAACTTGAACCAGAATATTATTTTAAAACTTTCAGACTCATCTGTGCAGAAGCTACTTTAAGCCAACGGCCCGAACTGTACAACGAGAGACGATATTAAACAAGGGTTTAACAGATACTGACAGATAAGAACACCATTATACATGATTGACAGCTGTCATATAGGTGGATCTGCTAAAGGAACAGAAGCTGTTCATGTCGAATTTCTTTGATAAGCTGATTATATAATATATAAAACATTCCATCACTTTTTAAATCCCTATTTCCAGGTCATGAACTTGAGCCAGAAATTCTTCACCACCAAGTGAAGATCAATTTATAGAAGAAGTCGTAGCTCTTGAAGAGAAACGCTTTGTCTATGCTGTGTGGTTGGATCTTTACTTTATATCCTTTGGCTTCTATGTCCATTTTGACGCAATCTAACAGGTCTTCGACTGATGTGGGAGCTTTCCACGGACCAAAGCTCACCACGGACTCTCTCGGGGTGCCGAGACTGTCGATAGCATTGTTGTATCTGGCTAAATCCTCTTCTGTCCTCACAACACACACGATTATGTTGGAGTAGCGTGAGGCGATGGCCTCGGCTCTGGCCACACGCACAATCACCTCCAGGTTTTCTCGATAATTCGGCACACGGGCCAAAAGCTGCTGTCTCCCGACCGTCTCTCCGAAGAACTGCGGCGTCTCCTCGATGGCTTTGACCAGAGGTTTGATGTCGTAGTAAAGCGCCTCCTTATGCACCTCCTGCAGGTGTTCAGTAGGAAGTCTCTCCGTTCTGAGGTACTCGAGGATGCATCCGAAATAAGTCCCATCACGGTCAACGAAGTGACGGCCCTCAGAGTCCATCCGTTTGGTTGATCCGTTAAACAGGTCTGCCAGTGTGGAGTTTGGGAATTTACGGATGGTTCCCAGGGTGGTGCTGAAGACATGACCTCCAATATTCAGCTGCACAACTTGGGATTTCTGTGGAGAGAGAAAACATATCGCTTTGATATACATTTAACAGTTAATATGAATAATATTGAGTCCATTGAAAGCCTGAGTGATCCTGACCACTCTTTGTCATTATTGATAGCAACACAACAGACTATCTAATGTCTCTAAGGCGCAATGACGTAAAGAGCAATTAAAGACCAACATTAACTGAGGCAACTTTTGTTGAATCAAGCAACAAAATAAGACATAATTCAATAAATAGTCTATATTGTAATTCTGTATATTTTAGTGTTCTATATACAGTCGTGCTCATAAGTTTACATACCCCTTGAAGAATATGCAAAATGTTAATAATTTTCACAAAATAAGAGGGATCATGAAAATCGCATGTTAATTTTTATTTAGTACTGTCTTGAATAAGCTATTACACATAACAGATGTTTATATATACTCCACAAGACAAAATAAGAACCGAATTTATAAAAAATGACCCCCTTCAAACGTTTACATGCGCTTAAATCTTAATACCGTGTCATTTCCTGGATGATCCATGACTGTTTTTATGTTTTGTGATAGTTGTTCATGAGTCCCTTGTCGGTCCTGAGCAGTTCAACTGTCTGCTGTTCTTCAGAAAAATCCTCCAGCTCCTGCACATTCTTTGGTTTTTCAGCATCTTCTGCATATTTGACCGCTTTCCAGCAGTGACTGTATGATTTTGAGATCCATCTTTTCAAACTGAGGACAACTGAGGAACTCCTACATAACAATTACAAAAGGTCAACACATTTACTGATGCTCAAGAAGGAAACATGATGCATTAAGATCCTCAGTTTGAAAAGATGGATCTCAAAATCATACAGTCACTGCTGGAAAGCGGTCAAATATGCAGAAGATGCTGAAAAACCAAAGAATGTGCAGGAGCTGGAGGATTTTTCTGAAGAACAGCAGACAGTTGAACTGCTCAGGACCGACAAGGGACTCATGAACAACTATCACAAAACATAAAAACAGTCATGGATCATCCAGGAAATGACACGGTATTAAGATTTAAGCGCATGTAAACGTTTGAAGGGGGTCATTTTTATAAATTCGGTTCTTATTTTGTCTTGTGGAGTATATATATAAACATCTGTTATGTGACATAGCTTATTCAAGACAGTACTAAATTAAAATTAACATGCGATTTTCATTTGATATATATATATATATATATATACAAGTATAATTACAATATGTACTTAAACACACACACACACAATTTAAATGTATACTTAATTTGAGTGCACATTTGACAAATCTGATTAAAATAAATACTAATTAGTAGAATAATGATTTAATTAGTAATAATTATAATTTATAATCCTATATAATGTGTGTCTGCGTGTGTGTATAAAGACTCTAAAATTAAAGCAAAGATTGTTATATTTATATAACATATGCACTATTGTGACACTACCATGAAGTAGTGTTTGTGTATATAAAATAATAACACCATGCATTTAGTTCTCTCTGGAAAAACTTTGCTAAAAGATTTACTGACAGAACATGCCATTAATGTTAGATACTACATTCTCAGTATTTGGTTTTTTAAAATCATTTTATTAATCTCGTTTTGAAAAGACTTGGTTTAATCTTTTACAAGCGTCCGCCTTAAGCATACACTACTAGTTTCTTGTTACTGGAGAAGTATCGTGTATTTAGCACAGCGCAGGGCGTTCAAAACAACTCAACAGCACGCGACGACACAGACATAGCTGTAATCTGTCAAAAACCGAATCTCAGGCGATTCGAAAGAATAGCCAACACAGAACAGCTGTTACATGAAACGGAACATTCTCGATGAAAATGTTACAAAGTAACATTCCACTTTCTAATGTAAATATTTCTTTTAGTTCATATACAATGTCTTACCGACTGCACCGGTGCTGAGGACTGCTTTCCAGACGATTTATAGTCCGGCAAACTCATGATCTTCCGCTGAAACTTCTGTTCTTCAGGCAGATAGCAGCAGCTCAGGCTGTGAATCAGGTGTGTGAGAAACTGTACAAGACCCACCCATTACACACACACACACACACACACGGCACTGCTGCCTTCTCTTAAAAAAATGGTTAAAACACTGAAAATGGTTCTTAAACCGTTTAATTCAACAGTCCACTGACAAAAAGGGCTTTAAACGCTGTTTGTTTTAGACATGTACCATTGTAGTACGATGTAAATACCATTGTATACAAGTATAGTAATCACTCAGCACTTTTACAGGAAGGTTTGCTTCAGGTTAAGAGTAGCCATTAAACAGAACGCAACTCAAGACCTCTAGAGCAGTGGCTCTCTAAAGGGACAATGACTTCAAATAATTAACATTAAAAGCATAAAAAAATTAAATCAAGATTTCTTTAATTTAACTTCATTTTAAAAGTGCCATTTCCAAACTTAAAACCGCTCTAAAACATTCAATCCGATCGAAATTGTGGTTGAATATAAATATGTAATGTATATATATATGTCTCATTAATTCTTAGTCAGAAAATACCATACAGCTGGGAAGGTCACGAGGCCTTTGAATATTGTGCAATGAGGGGCTATGGAGTCAAATATATAAAATCACTCAATGCAACATTATATTTAAGTCCCCCCCCCCCATAATGTCACGATTTCATTACAATTAAACACTCTGCTTTATAAATGAAGTAGATCAATAAAAGTTGTTTTAAGCAGCGGTCACATCTGACATTGTCGAAGCGTCTACTGTTAACATGACCTACAGGATGACATTGACTTCCAACTGCATTCTGCTGCTCACGGTTATGTTTAACATCTTCAGGTAGATCACTCTCAAATGTGTTAAAAGCTACTAAAACTTCCATGTACTGCAATCATAACGTCTTTAAAACAGCATTGCTCATTTGAAGTGAATGAAAACACGATATTTCCCCATTTCTCATTTTATTTATTTTTTTATACAGAAAAGTGTTCTAAAATTAAAGCAAAGATTGTTATATTTATATAACATATGCACTATTGTGACACTACCATGAAGTAGTGTTTGTGTATATAAAATAATAACACCATGCATTTAGTTCTCTCTGGAAAAACTTTGCTAAAAGATTTACTGACAGAACATGCCATTAATGTTAGATACTACATTCTCAGTATTTGGTTTTTTAAAATCATTTTATTAATCTCGTTTTGAAAAGACTTGGTTTAATCTTTTACAAGCGTCCGCCTTAAGCATACACTACTAGTTTCTTGTTACTGGAGAAGTATCGTGTATTTAGCACAGCGCAGGGCGTTCAAAACAACTCAACAGCACGCGACGACACAGACATAGCTGTAATCTGTCAAAAACCGAATCTCAGGCGATTCGAAAGAATAGCCAACACAGAACAGCTGTTACATGAAACGGAACATTCTCGATGAAAATGTTACAAAGTAACATTCCACTTTCTAATGTAAATATTTCTTTTAGTTCATATACAATGTCTTACCGACTGCACCGGTGCTGAGGACTGCTTTCCAGACGATTTATAGTCCGGCAAACTCATGATCTTCCGCTGAAACTTCTGTTCTTCAGGCAGATAGCAGCAGCTCAGGCTGTGAATCAGGTGTGTGAGAAACTGTACAAGACCCACCCATTACACACACACACACACACACACGGCACTGCTGCCTTCTCTTAAAAAAATGGTTAAAACACTGAAAATGGTTCTTAAACCGTTTAATTCAACAGTCCACTGACAAAAAGGGCTTTAAACGCTGTTTGTTTTAGACATGTACCATTGTAGTACGATGTAAATACCATTGTATACAAGTATAGTAATCACTCAGCACTTTTACAGGAAGGTTTGCTTCAGGTTAAGAGTAGCCATTAAACAGAACGCAACTCAAGACCTCTAGAGCAGTGGCTCTCTAAAGGGACAATGACTTCAAATAATTAACATTAAAAGCATAAAAAAATTAAATCAAGATTTCTTTAATTTAACTTCATTTTAAAAGTGCCATTTCCAAACTTAAAACCGCTCTAAAACATTCAATCCGATAGAAATTGTGGTTGAATATAAATATGTAATGTATATATATATATGTCTCATTAATTCTTAGTCAGAAAATACCATACAGCTGGGAAGGTCACGAGGCCTTTGAATATTGTGCAATGAGGGGCTATGGAGTCAAATATATAAAATCACTCAATGCAACATTATATTTAAGTCCCCCCCCCCATAATGTCACGATTTCATTACAATTAAACACTCTGCTTTATAAATGAAGTAGATCAATAAAAGTTGTTTTAAGCAGCGGTCACATCTGACATTGTCGAAGCGTCTACCGTTAACATGACCTACAGGATGACATTGACTTCCAACTGCATTCTGCTGCTCACGGTTATGTTTAACATCTTCAGGTAGATCACTCTCAAATGTGTTAAAAGCTACTAAAACTTCCATGTACTGCAATCATAACGTCTTTAAAACAGCATTGCTCATTTGAAGTGAATGAAAACACGATATTTCCCCATTTCTCATTTTATTTATTTTTTTATACAGAAAAGTGTAAGTCTTCCATCGATGACCTGGAAGAGACAAAAACATCTTGTTAGAAAAAAAAGCAACAAAAAAAAAAAGCATCAAAGACAAAACTAGTCAGCAAGGAAAAACCCTTCTCAGACAAATGCCTCTACATCTTCAATCTAAGAGGACACGTGATCTCTGAGGAACTGAAGTCAGACGCACAGAACGTGAGCCTGAGCCAGAATCCTCAGAGACGGGCCTCGATCCGACTCGTCATCGTATCATCACTGAAGGGAACGTGGAGGTCAGTTTGGGGTTTTTAGGTCTTACCCCTTTATGGGGTTGACACTGGGGCTCCCTGTGGCATGACTGGGGCCTCGGGCTTGGCCGCCTTCTGTTCGGACACCGGGGTGGTGGGCAGGACCTCGTCTTTGGGCTCCACGATGCTGACGTGGTCAGGCAGGGGCTTCTTGGGGCCGATCTTGCCGCTGGGATCCCAGGGAAGCATGATTTTCACCTTGATTCCAAGCACACCTACATGAAGACAATCACAGGGACACATTACAAAAAACTAGATAAGACAAGAACTAGTCAGCAAGATAAAAAAAATTTTTTAAAAACCCTTCTCAGACAAATGCCTCTATATCTTCAATCTAAGAGGACACGTGATCTCTGAGGAACTGAAGTCTGACGCACAGAACGTGAGCCTGAGCCAGAATCCTCAGAGACGGGCCTCGATCCGACTCGTCATCGTATCATCACTGAAGGGAACGTGGAGGTCAGCTGACCGACAGAATCACAAGGATATATTAACGGTGACTAGAAATCAGTATAACACCATCCCACGAGTTTCCCCCACACGTTTGAAAGCATGCATTCAGAAGCTTCTCAGACTAACGCATTTATACCATCACACTGCTCTGAGGAGCCAGAACTGGACTCTTCCGAAACAATCCAACTCTGGTTCAGTATATAATCACTGAAGGGAAGATCTATATGCTTCTGAAATTAAATTTGGAACAATGGTTAGTTACTCAATATGTTAAGACAACTGAGGTGTCATGCTAAACCGTATAGTTTTATAAGGCAACAGGTTTGCACATTAAAATCCAAGTATTTGAGATGATACACATTTCTGTTCCCAGACTTTCTGATTTGATTTCAATTTGAGTCACAAGCGCTCGATTCAATATAAACTCATAGAAAAAGGTTTGTTTCAACTATGTTCCCATCTTACTGCAATAGTGATTAAAATCAGTGCGTAAAATAAAAGGTTTTCAATCTTTTAGATGCCAAAGACAACAAATATTTAAAATCTAATTATAAAAATCTGTATTTTTTTTTACATTTTTTACACTAATACACTTTGCTCAAGATTTGACAAATGAAAATCCATAGTGCTCATGAATATTACGTCTAAAATAATTAGTTTTATTAAGTTATGCTGTTGTTTTCTATTTATAGTACAGTAACACTAACTCTTTATTTAATCAATTTTTTTTAGTTTCTCTAAACATTTTCACAGACCCCCTTGCAAAATAATGCAATAATTTACTCAATATTTGACAAACTCCTGAATATCTGAAATCATTTTTAAACATTTTTGTTTAACTTGCATTTTATTCTACTCGTATTGTACTGTAATACACTGTATTCTCATTTAATAAATTTTTTTTTTTTACAGTTTCTCTTAACATTTCCCCCATTAAAATGCAACAATTTGCTTAAGATCTGACAAATATAGTTCATATGAATATTGTCTAAAATGATTAATATTTAGAAAATACGTAGTTTGAGTAATTAAATTTTTCCTACTTGTATTACTGTACTCATTTGAATCCATTTTTATAATTTCCCACACTTTTTCTCTTTAACATTTCCACAGGCCCCCTAATAAACTGTGAAGTGACAATTTGCTAAAGATCCGACACAAATTAAACTTCCAGAGAACCATCAGTCCATTTAATCTTACTCACCCTGTCGGAGCAGTACGTGGCGGACAGCAGTGTCGACGTAATAGTTAACTGGGTCTCCGCTGTGGATCATCAGGCCATCCACGAACTTCATGGATTTGGCTCTCTGACCTCTCAGTTTACCAGAAACAACCACCTCACAACCCTTGGCCCCGCTCTCCATGATGAAGCGCAGAACACCGTAGCAGGCCCTGAGAAGAACAAGCATGACATCCAAATCAAAAAGGCACAGGAAAAAGAAAAGAAAAATAATCTGGATTCCAAAGAAAACGCGCTGCCTGCGTTCCGTGTATCAGCTCCGATACTGCCATTTGTGCAAAATTGTGCACTCATGATTTTTTCTAGAGTAACTTTTGCTGCTGAATTATCCACTAACCTAGTTTACAACAATATTTTTGTCATAAATTATGAATATACATTTTCATTTGCTATGTTTCTTTAAAATGAAGTTTAAAGAAGATTTAAACCATATTTAGTAGAATAGATTGTGTTGAAAGCAATTTTGCTCGTAAGCAATTTTTCAAAAACGCTTTAGAAAACTGATTCGGGCCGAATAGCAAAACAAACTTGTAGCCAATCAGCAGTGGAGAGAGCGTTCAGTCTGAGCCGAGCGACAGAAACAAGAGATGGCGGATAAAACAAGAAAAAGGAAACCGTCTGCGGAACAACCGAAGGCTTAAGGCAAAAAGTAGGACCCGTGTAAATATCGGATCAGCTTTCCAGCGCTGGAGAGAACTCAAGGAGCAGAAGGCCTGCGATCGGACGCCGAGGTTGCTTTGTTTCTTCTCGATGGGTGAGTAACACCGTGTCTGCGCTGCAACCGCTAAAGTCTGTCTAGTACACTGGACGCGACAATGCGACCATTGAAAATCATTTGAAATGCGTCAATACGTCATGAATAGAAAGCAGCAGCAGTTTTCTGTCGGGGATTTGTCGTGTCGTGCCGCATCCAGTGTAGACCATAGATATTTAAATATATCTATGGTGTAGACAGCATAACTGATTATAATGAGTTCTATAGTATTTTGTCGCGCCGTGCCACTCGCGTCCGGTGTAGACACGATGTATCATTGGTTTTGCTTTGTTTCACAGAACTAATCGTTTCCTGGGTTGTGTACGTATGTGTGGGGCGGAGCTATCAAAATAGGGGCGAGACCCTTTTGGGGTAGGGGCGTGTTTGTTTTGGTGATTTCAAATGTCAACATTGGCTACCAGAAATCACTTACCCCACCTTTAACACACAAAAGAGTGATGACCAGGTCAACAAACATTTAAGTATAGAAAATCTACACTGATTTAAAAAAAAAAAAACTGTGTCAGTAACGTATCGGCAGATACTCGGAACTTCTGGTATAGGATCGATTCTGGAAAAATGGTATTGGTGCATCCCGAGTTAACCCATGTCAATGGTTTAAATGCACGTTAAACATGTAAAGTAATGGAAATACACTGAAATGCGTGTAAGCAGTGCACACCTGGTGGCTAGGATGATGATTTCTGTTCTTGTTGGCGTGACACGGACCTCCACACCGGAGTACCCATCCTCGGCCAGCTCTCGGGTCAGAAACTCATTCAGCTCGGCTTTGAAGATGCCATCCGACACAAACTGATAGATAAACATTAAAGCGATTAAGGTCTTCTGATGCAGAAATAAAACGTGAGTTTTATATGAACAGTAACATCTTGCTTGCAATATTAAATGCCACAAATGTCAATCAAAAATGACACTATATGCAGAGTAACACATGTACAAACGCTTATATAGTTAACAATATATTAGGGATGTAACAGTATGAACATTTCTTATCACGATTATAGTGACCAAAATGATCACGGTTATCAGTATTATCACGGTATTGTTAAAATGTGCTGGAGATGTTCAAAAAGTACAGACACAAATCGTTTTACATTTAAAATCAACAAATAAAATTTTATTTTTAGTTTGCATAACTACAATAAAAATGATCGCAAAATACACCCATTTGGTCGCACACTGGAGCCCTGTGCAGTACGGTATTTATTTATCCTCAGTTGTTCAAATCGCGGTAATCGAATACGGTTATAGTGATAATTAAAATATTAAACGGTAATACTAACCGTGGGGTATTTTATCACGATTTATCGTCAAGCGGGTAATCGTTACATCCCTACAATATATAGTCCATAGTGTCAATTTCCAGCAGTCATACTAACGCCAGCATAAACTACTTAAATATCACTTCTGTATTGTATTATATATATATTTGAACCGCTCAAATACGAAAGTCCGCTGAGCTTCATCTGCCATGTTTCACTTCAGATTCAGTGCCGGCAGCATCCGACTCAATCCATCCATACATCCTTATTAAATCCTCATCTGAACCGCTTCGACTATAGTTAAGTAACATAGTAATCATGTGCCTCTCTTATTTTGCACTCCTGTGCTTTCCTTACACAACTTTGAAATGAGATTCGTACCAACCTTTCTCTTCTTAGAGATTTGCACCGCCATCTTGACGGAGGCCGCGGACAGGAAAGGAATTGGCAGCGTAGCGGAAGTGCGTTTATGGTAACGAATCACTTCCGTATGACTGTGTGTGTGGTGATGGGAACTGTAGTTCTCCCATCACATGCTGTAGTTCATCACATCGCCGTCCTTCAAACTAGTGTTTTAATTGGATATGTTTTATTTCCAGCAGTCATACTAACGCCAGCATAAACTACTTAAATATCACTTCTGTATTGTATTATATATATATTTGAACCGCTCAAATACGAAAGTCCGCTGAGCTTCATCTGCCATGTTTCACTTCAGATTCAGTGCCGGCAGCATCCGACTCAATCCATCCATACATCCTTATTAAATCCTCATCTGAACCGCTTCGACTATAGTTAAGTAACATAGTAATCATGTGCCTCTCTTATTTTGCACTCCTGTGCTTTCCTTACACAACTTTGAAATGAGATTCGCACCAACCTTTCTCTTCTTAGAGATTTGCACCGCCATCTTGACGGAGGCCGCGGACAGAAAAGGAATTGGCAGCGTAGCGGAAGTGCGTTTATGGTAACGAATAACTTCCGTATGACTGTGTGTGTGTGGTGATGGGAACTGTAGTTCTCCCATCACATGCTGTAGTTCATCACATCGCCGTCCTTCAAACAAGTGTTTTAATTGGATATGTTTTCAATGTTTCGTAACAAATGTTTTAATAGGATACATAGATAGGCTAAACGTGTGTGTTTGCATGAAGTTATTAAGGTAAGATCAATAGCCTGTGATGAAATATGATTTTCTTTATTATTTATCGGCCCAAGTAACTCTAAAAACTACATTAAAACACATTATATATATATAAAAAACTATTTTCTAGCTTTAATACAAAACAAACTCATTCTATAGAATACAAAGTGAACAAAATCATGCTCTGTGGATATGCAAGTCAACAATACAATAAATAAATAAAAACAAACAGTAAGTGGATAATAGAAAAAAAGATATAATACAGTAAATATTATATTGTGATACTCTGTGAGCTAGTTTTAAAGAAATGTACAGCTTAAATTTTCATACAGCTTTCTTCATCTTTTTGAGTCCTAAGGTATATGAGACAAATGAACATTTAATTTTTTTTTAAACACATTATATATATATAAAAAACTATTTTCTAGCTTTAATACAAAACAAACTCATTCTATAGAATACAAAGTGAACAAAATCATGCTCTGTGGATATGCAAGTCAACAATACAATAAATAAATAAAAACAAACAGTAAGTGGATAATAGAAAAAAAGATATAATACAGTAAATATTATATTGTGATACTCTGTGAGCTAGTTTTAAAGAAATGTACAGCTTAAATTTTCATACAGCTTTCTTCATCTTTTTGAGTCCTAAGGTATATGAGACAAATGAACATTTAATTTTTTTTTTTATTATGATAAACATACAGTATGTATAACACATATCACAAGTGTAGTCTTAGCACATTAGAACAATGTAAAAATACACATTGGAACTATTTAATACAATTGCAGGGGCAATTCAACCCAAGTAAGGTTAGGTTTTACGGCGAACAAATGAATTGCTCATCCAATGGACACAAAAGTCTTGGGCTTTGAAAATCCTCCTTCCGGCTGTTTTTACCTATCTTGGTGTCATTAACAGCATAAACTCCAACAGAGCCAGCATAAAACCCCACATACACAAAAAAATAATCAGAAACAGTTAGTGTAGAGGGGTTGCCCTTGGGTGTTATTACAACCTTGTAAGCTTGACTACCAGAGATTCTGTAAATATTTTCCCCACTCCTGGTTTCCCAGACATATATGTCTCCAGTTGCAGTACTCACAAGCTAGTTGCCATCTCCAGAGACAGTCATAGACTCCACAGTACCTTGGTGAAGGAAGCGGCCTTTCACTTTGCCACTTGATACCCCCAACTTCCAAACAAGTTCGGATCCATCTGAAGAGTAACAACTTTCTCCATGAGATCCCACAGCCACCATCTCCACCCTCTTTCCAGATTTCGGTGCCAATGCTGAAGCTGTAATGAGATCCATGTACCAAATAAGAACACTTACACTTGTTTTTGGTGCCAGGTAAGTAGCCCCACATTTCAGAAGTTTAATAGCTTGACAGTTTGCAGTGTCCAGACTCAACACACACTGGCCAGAGGCACAATTCCAGACCAGCAGAAACGGGCAGTTGCACAGTAAAGCAAGGATGAAGTGTGAGTTTTGATCCATTATGGCTTGCTTAAATGTTTTGCCTCTTGGGGGATTGATGAATTGGTCAAGTACATCAATTTGATGAATGTCAATAAGTTGCATTTGTTGCTTTTTACATATTAGGAGAACGTTGTCTCCTTTGTAGTCTGTGTTTAACACCTTGTTGTGCAGTGGTTCTCACAAATCAGAACTGGTTCTGTTATAATCTCAAGATTCCAAGCAAACGCGTTTCCTGCTTGATCTACACATGTAATCATCCCGTCACCCTCAGAGAGAATCATATCAATTAATGGCATTTCTTTTGGACAAGTAAAGGTGGCTAGAAGTTGGCCATTGGACCAGTCAAATATTGTCACAGAACTTTCATTCTGTCCACAGTAAATTATATCACCTTCCTCAGAACATGACACACAGGTTATCTCATAAGTGCAGTGCAGTTCGGAATTTTCCTCCCCATCAACAAATACGCTAACAATGTTTTGTCCTTTCCACCACACAAATAGTTTGTCAGTAGACAACAAGATACCCTCAAGAAAGGTGTTTTCCCTGTTTTGGGTTTGAATTTCTTGAGGCTGTGTGCTAACCCCTGCTTCCCACAAGACAAGTTTACCATAATGGGTGCTCAGAAGGAATGTGTTTCCCGAGCTACTGACACATGTGAACTGCAGATTAGAGGACTGGGTTAGTTTGAAGCCTTCAAATATACCTCCATTACAAACCCAAGCGGTTCCATTTTCCAGTACAACCACCACAGTGCCACAGGATGAACCAGCTGACTGTATGATCCGGGAAGCTGTCGACTCTTGCAGTATACAGTTGGTATAAGGGCCTGAAGGAACTGGAGGCAACACAGTATACACTCGATTTTTTGGGATTATACATTTAGACCATGGCAAATTAACACATTCTTCCAATGCAGGAAAAACATTCAGATAAGGAAGGAGTTTGGAGTACTGTTGACAGATCGGCAGGGTTGTTCCTCAGTAGACAAGCTGAAGATCTCAAGATGATGTGGAGTAGCTGAAGTTCCCCGGGAAACACCAACTGAGATGTCCTCTCAAGCCACAGAAAGAGTTCGTCAGCCAGTTCTGCCTGCAGCATTGCCTGAAGGTATTCTTGAAAAATCATTTGGTTGCCAAGCTCCTCAATTCTCCCACTTTTCAACAAATGGAAAGGGAGTATGTGGAGTTTCCTCAAATTGGGATGTGTTCTTGCTGATGGACTCTTGGCAGTAGAGAAGTAGAAAGGAGGAGAAAAGATGCAAGGTTGACTTGGTACTTGTCTGTCAATGTTAAAGTTCTGTGGGACATCTGAAGAGCTTGGCATTTTCATGTCTTCATTGATGATCAAAGGCTTTGCTGTGCCATTTGCCACTGAAATAGTGTGACAGCACATGATGTGTCTTCTGACATGTTTCCTGTGAGCACAGGTACCTCTTACATACTGTACAACCAAAGGGAAGTGTTTGCTGACCCAGAAAAGAGTTTGGGTACCTAAAATGTTCCTCAGCACTAGAAACCCCCTCAAGTCTGAAAGAAGACTATTCACAGAAACTTCAGGATCCCTCACTGTGAGCGGTACGCCATCGCCTGGTGGAAGGAAAGATGCAAGAACTTCATCATCACAAGAAAGAACATCAGTCAGCTCAGTTGCGGTCATGCCGTACCTGGCCAAAGCAAGATAGCTTAAAGCTTTGGAGACTACAGCTTTCCCATGCTTCTTCTCCAGATGATCAAACATCAGAACAATGTTATTATGGGCCTCTTGGATCAAAGAGTTCTCCGTAATCTCAAACTCTGACTTCCAATGGATTGCCTGTCTATAAAGGAGTTGCACATGTAGTGGGAAAGGGCATTTCTTAAACGCCTGATTCACATACATCTGTTGGCCTGAGGTGATCTTTCTGTTGGACTCCTGAAGAAGTGTTGTCAGTAGCTGGCTGCAGCTTTTATTTTCTACTTCTTGCAACTCCCAGAACACAGATGAATCTGGGTAATACATCTTCAGAGTAGCAAGAAGGGTAGGCCTGTTTACATTGATTGAAATGATAAGCTTTACATTTGGAGCTAATGATTCGGGAAGTAATGTCAAGTCGAGTTGTCCATCAGTCTTTGGCAGTTGGTCAAGACCATCTATGATGAGCCCCAAAGGATTCTTGGATGGTGATCTTGCGGTCAGGGAGACTTTGTGTTGGTGGCCTAGATCCCAAACTATTGGCCAAAACAACCACAGTGTTTTATACGCCATAAACTGTCTACTGACATGCTTTTAGAAAGCAGTATAGAAATAATGTTAACAAGAAAAGATCAATACTAACCCAGTCAGTCTTTTGTCATTTGCACAATTAAAAATGCATGATGTTTAGATAATGAGACAGTAGGAGGGCCTGTCACATGCTCAATGTTCCAATGAAAGAAATAACCATTATTTATTCATGTTTATGGATTAAAACACAATTGATTGTGGGAAAAATAATTTGTTATTGTCAGCTGGAAGCAACACAACTATAATATTCTTCAGAATTAGATTGTTTCCAAGCTGATCAAATGCTTTACATACTGACAGAAGATGATGAAAAAAGAATGATGGACGTTTGCTCACTCTGAACTCAACTCCATATGTGCATCTGCAGTATTCCCTCAGTTTGGGCAAAACTCTCTGCCTTAGTAACCTCGTCTCAACCACAGATTCTGCAACAGAGTTTACATGAGTCAACTTTTACTCATTGTTTTCTAGTCCAGATTTTTTTTTTTATTTCAGTCAAGACCACTCTGCTTGATTAAGATTATTATAGAGGTCCTGAGTCTGACATTATTTTGGTGACAGACTTTGCTCTGAAGGGTTCAGATTCGCAGAATTAGATTGTTTCCAAGCTGATCAAATGCTTTACATACTGACAGAAGATGATGAAAAAAGAATGATGGACGTTTGCTCACTCTGAACTCAACTCCATATGTGCATCTGCAGTATTCCCTCAGTTTGGGCAAAACTCTCTGCCTTAGTAACCTCGTCTCAACCACAGATTCTGCAACAGAGTTTACATGAGTCAACTTTTACTCATTGTTTTCTAGTCCAGATTTTTTTTTTATTTCAGTCAAGACCACTCTGCTTGATTAAGATTATTATAGAGGTCCTGAGTCTGACATTATTTTGGTGACAGACTTTGCTCTGAAGGGTTCAGATTCTGAGCTGTCCTCAAGCAAACCTCACTGAGGTTTGAAACCCCCGAAGCCTAATGCAATTACCAGAATTTTTGTTTAGAAATAGAACAGATATAAAATTCCATGCAGAAGTGATACAGGTCTGTAAATGAGACGACAAGATTAGCAACGATGAGCTGATAGATGATTTCCATGGACAAGACGCTCAGTGATCATGTGCCTGTATAAGGAGGAGCTGGGGATGGAGGAGGGTAAGCACATGTCTGTGCGACAGACTAATGCAAGTTTGAGTATGGATGAACTTATATCTCTTATTTAATTGTAGTGGAAGGAGTTACAATCAGCTGAGCGTCAGCTGATACTGCCTGAACTACGTTTGAGCTCCATTCGTCACTCAAACTACACAAGTTACTTTTTTTATTTTCTCATCTTACTGTGAACACGTCATTGGTGTGTTATTTCAAATGGAAAAAGTCTTAATCTTTTATGAAAATAATACCTTGCTCCACATTATTTTGCAACCCCTCCCCTCCAGACCACTTTTCACAATCCAGTAATTTCCTGATGAATCAAGTTTCAAAGGAATAGTTCACTTAAAATATTTAAATACTGTCATTTATTGATCCTCATGTCATTCCAAACCAGCATGACTATCAAATCTCATTTGCACATGCGCATATTAAATGTGCATGTGTGTTTTTTTTTGTTAATAATTCTTTATTTATGATGATTTAACCTCTAAACTACACCATCCCTTGGGATGCATTTTAGGAACATTCATAAAGACAGAACATTTCACAAATAAAACCAAATGCAACATTTCATTCATTAATAGATGTGCTGGTACTTAATTATTAAATACTGTATATAAGTAAGATTCTTAATTATATTGAAATATGTGAAAAATCTGCACTCATTACCCTGTGGCTGGAGAAAGGATGAAGGCGAGGAGGGCAACCGCATGTTTTGCCTTGCATCTCATTTCCCAGCAGGAAACTGTTCCCTGTTATTTACATGGAACTCCGGGAGAACCGCCCACTTTTTTGAAAACTGATAAAACAGTCCGATATCATCCGGCAAAAACACACTCTAGACGTTAAATGCATTTTAAAACATTCTAAACACTTCCTACAGGAAGTAGTACAAAATGTGAATTAATTTAAAAGTTATTTAAATTAAACATTAAAATAAAAAAATAAAAAATGTAATTTCAGAAAAAAAATACCAATATTAAATTTCATATTCATAAGAAAAGTTTTCTTTAAACATATTGTGAAAGGAGGTATTTAACCTTTAGATGTTCAAATGTCTTTGTCTTCAAATGTTTGTCCACTTAGAAAAAATAATATAAGCTGTATTTTGTTTTTACGACTACCTATGTAATAGGTTTGCATGTTTTGCAGCTATTTTACTAAAATGTGGGGCTGAATATAGTTATAAATATAAATTTTCTATGAAAATAAACACTAAACATTAAATAAATACAACTTATAAAATAAAGAAATAAAATATTTGAAGTTGCAATTTATGTATTCACATCTGGTTACGTCAGAAAACAGAAACAAACTAAACAGAAGCACTTTCCCCAATTTTATTATTTAACATTTGTACACAATAAATACAAATAATTTTACAGCTAATAATATGCAGAAAGAATATTTTTCACCTGTTCTCTGATATTGTCACTGCAGCAACAGTCAATTGTTGTTATTCCATCTGTTTTTTGTCTAGCAGCTCGGAATCACCTTCAAATTTTAATAAATGCATATAAAATCACTTTAGAAATAACAACTAGAATATGCAGCTAATGCTATTGAAGAAGCTCCAAAGAGTTGAAACTGGCCAAGAAAACTGGGAGCGCAATTTAAAAAAAAAAGCAAATTAAAATATCAAAATTTGCGTTCGTTTTTGACACAATGGGCTTTAACCTCTAACCATAAACTTCAAAACAAGTTTGATAACATTCAAAAGATCTCAATGAGATCAACAAGAAAATAGCTTGTGACAGAGGAAAATAGAAACAAAGGGAAGATACTCAAACATCTTCCGCTCGGATTAAAAAAACTCGTTTTTTCCCCTCCCACGTCTCGCACACGTACTTTTGGTGATGACCCTGTTCCTGCTTAACAGAACTATGGTACCATTTCACAAAATGGATTTTTAAAAATTCCTTCCACTGTCTATATTATGGAATCAACATAATAACTCTGTTCTCTTTCAAACGTTATGGGAAAACTACAATCAGTCACTCTCTAACGAGATCAAAAACACGACGCCGGGCAGCTTCATCATCCAAAAGAGGCAGCTGGGATACACAGACATTAAAAAAAAAAGTTCAAATTGAGGGGTCGAAGCACTGAAACTTCAGAAAAAGTTCAAGATATGCATGAAAATACTGTGGAAATGAATGAAAATGAAACATTAACAGGCATTGCTTATTTAAGATGAAATGTCTCTTCAACTGCAAAAAAAAACAACAACATAGCTGCCCCTTGTAGGGAGGAAATGCACTTAGGACACGATAATAGGTTTGCGTTCATTGGCAATAATTAAAATGAAAAATCCCCATGATGATCCACCTTTTCTGTGCTTGTTGGAGGGAATCTCTCCCATCACATTCATCCTAAACACTGCCATAAAAGAAACACAACACATCCGTTCAGTCCTCCGCAGTGCCGACACGTGACAATGAGAAATGCGTTAGGCTGGAAAAGCACTTTAACTGATACTTGTATATTGATCAGTATATTTCCATGATTACAGACGCAGAATATTCTCCGTCCCCGGCTCAGAGACACACGCTCTCGCACGCCTTTCTGAGGACTAAATATTAGTAATGCATACAAACACTGGTCTTCTTAATGAAAAGTTGAGAAAAAGGATATAGCTATGTAGTTAGTACTTTTATTTTTCCGGACCAACACAAGACAGAAAGAAGCTAAACCGATGAAAAAAAAAAGAAAAAAGAAGAGCGAAGTAACCAGCCTTCCTCTCTTTTTAACCCTCGTTCTCCTCTTTTTCCTCTACCGCTCTTTTTCCTTGTAGCCTTTTATGTACAGTTCCCTTTCTCCGTTATGATCTGTAATGTTTAACGTGAATATAACATTCCTATGACGACAGTAATGTACTGTGCTATTACATATGAAATATACGTAAATGGTAGGACTATTCGTGGCTGACCCCTTTTTCACATCCCAGAATTCCTAGTATTGCATGTTTGGCTCTTCAAAAGCCACTGAAGAGATGGATGTGCAAGTGTAGCCTCTTTTGAAACTCTTGCTAAACCCTTGTATTCGATTCCTTTCTGTGTTTTTAGATGCACACTTACACATCGACCATGATTTTGCAAAACTGAACAGCCATTGGGTGAATTAAAGTTTTAAACAAGTTCCCGTTGCACGATAAAGTCATTACGAATACAAGGATTAGAGTTTGGCATGAAAGCGGTTTAAGGCACCAAACAGTCTGTGACGCCAAAAGAGGTGTTTGTATTTTATGAAAAAGGGATGCCTTTGAGATGCTGTTCTCCGCCCCCTCGGGGATCTAAGGATGCTCATAGGGCATCCGTGAGGAGTGGGAGGGGTTAGAGGTCAGATAGGGCTTGTTCTCAGTCCACTAGGGCGGAGCTCTACACCAGCGTGATCTCCACCTCTTCGGTTTTCTCCACCTGTCTGCGCGCGTGCTGCTTTGGAGGAGGAGGTGCCGCCCGAACCTAGACACATAAAATAACAGGGTTTAATAGAGAACAGCTAGCCTGTATTATATTCACAAGTGAAAATGTGTAGGTCCCCCCCAAAAAAAAAGAAAAAAAAAAGATATTTATATAACGTGTATAATATCATATTTACACAATAAAAATATATAATAATAAATAGTAAATATATAATAATAAATGTATTATAAGCTATTTAAATACAAAAATTATGAACTATTTTTTTTTTTTATTATTTAAAAATGAGAAATAAGTGGGAAAAAAGTGCTCGATTGTAAAACAACACCAACAACATCATAATAAACCTTAATAATCTTAACTCGAAAATATACTTTTTTATATGAAAAATATAATTTGTTATTTTTTTGAGGATAAAATCTGGTCTGTATGTGGGATTCACGAGATTCACAAAGATAAAAATCTCTATCTATAAAATGTTACAAATATAGAAAAAATATAATAATGGAAGTTACTGTTATAAAAATAAGTTATAAAATATATATTTATCTGGACTAGTGAGTAACATCTGAAATCAAAGTAATTCAGAAAAAAAACAACATTTAGCAATCTGTGTTTTTTTGGTATATATTTCTCTAAATGTAAGCAACTGCCAGGGTTATTATAGTTAACTAAAACCATAAAAATGCATTTTTGTTACTGAAATAAAATGTTTACTGAAATAAAATAATATATATATAAACTACCGGTCAAAAGTTTGGGATCAGAGCGATTTTTTATGTTTTTTACATGAGTTTCTTCTGCTCATCAAGGCTGCATTTATTTGATCAAAAATTCAGGAATTATTATTATGATGTAAAATAATGTTTTTCTATTTTAATATACATTAAAATCTAATGTATTCCTGTGATGCGCAGCTGTATTTTCAGCATCATTCCTCCAGTCTTCAGTGTCACATGATCTTCAGAAATCAGTATAATATGCTGATTTATTATCAGTGCTGGAAACTGTTGTGCTGCTTAATATTTTTTTGGAACCTGTGATACTTTTTTTCAGGATTCTTTGATGAATAAAAAGTTAAAAAGAAGAGCATTCATTTAAAATAAAAATCTTTTCTAACAATACAGTTCAAAAGTTTGGGGTTTGGAAAAAAAACGTTTTTTTTTTTATTCTTTCTTTTTTTGAAAGAAATTAAATCTTTTATTCAGCGAGGATGTGTTAAATTGATAAGAATGATAACATAGATTTATATTATTAGAAAAGATTTATATTTTGAATAAATGCGGTTTTTTTTTACTGATCAAATAAATGCAGCCTTGATGAGCAGAAGAGACTTCTTTAAAAAATATTACAAGTCTTACTGATCCCAAACTTTGAACGGCAGTGTAAATATACATTTAAACCAAACTTATTTTATTGCAGCTAGTTGCAGAGGCAACATTTCTCATTTTCATTTAGTTTAACTTGATTTACTAAAATAACTAAAGCTAAAATTGAAATAAAATGACTAAAAACCATAGACATATTTACAAAAAACTAAAATGAATAAAAGTGAGAAAAACACACAACAAAAATATTACAACTTTTACTACAATTAAAATGAAAACTGAAAATATTAAAATAAAAACAATGATTTAAAAATGAATAAAAACTATATTAGTTATCTCAGTTTTACTAAAATAACACGAAGCAGCAAAATCTTACACATAACTTTAAAATGCAGGATGTTCACAAATCGAGTATAAAAAAGCTAATCTGTAGCGCTGTAGTGTTCACATACAGGTCTGAGTTTTCCAGAGCCGGATCCGTCTGGAGTGAGTCTCAGCGGCTGGGAGAAGCCTGGGCTCTCTGGGCTTAAGCTGGAATTGTGATCTAAACCAAATGTAAAACATTCTCAAGTTCAAACCATAGCAGACACAAATCCACAGAGTAACAGCAGGATTCATGACGGTGTCTCACTATGACCGGCGGCTTTCTGCGGGATGGGCAGTTTGTGTTCTCCGTTGACAGACGGTGAGCGGGGCAGCGAGGGAGCGCTGCTGGTCTCGGGGCTCGTGTACGGACTGCAGGGCGGCTGGTCATACAGCGGCAGAGGAGGAAGTGATGAATGAAGCCTTTGGCACGGGGACACCTGGAGACGACAACACACGTCTCCTTACCAAGCCCTGTGTAAACCTTCTGATCCTCTTCATGTCAGATAATGTTAACAAACACTAGCGTTCAAAAATTTGGGGTCAGTGAAAGAAAAGAATATTTTTATTCAGCAAGACTGCATTAAATTGATCAAAAGTAAAGACATTTAAAATGTTACAAAATAGTTCTATATCAAATAAATGCTGTTCTTTTGAACTTTCTATTCATCTAAGTATCCGGAGGAATAATGTATAATGGTTTTCAACTTAGTTTAAACTGTTTTCAACATTAATAATGTTTCTCGAGCAGCAAATCAGCATATTAGAATGATTTCTGAAGATCATGTGACACTGAAGACTGGAGGAATGATGCTGAAAATACAGCTTTGATCTCAGGAATAAATTACATTTTTAATTTATTCAGAAAACTGTTATTTTAAATTGTAATAATATTTCCCAATATTACTGTTTTGATTGCATTTTTAATCAAATAAATGCAGCCTGGGTGAGAATAAAAGCCTTCTTTCCAAAAACATTTGTAAAAATCCTACCAACCTCAAACATATAAACAGTAGTTTACTGTGTTTTATTAAATTATTGAAAACTCAATCATATTGAGGCATTTAATTGTCAAATAACTTTTATTATTTTAGGCATAACAATCAACATAATTTAGCATCATTATATGAAAAACCAGAATTAGTGTTTTAGAGAATCGTGTGATTAAAGTACACATTAAAGTACAGTTTTATTATGACTGTATTTACATGATTAGCTCCATTTTTTCCCCCTTTTTTGATGTGGCCGGATAATGTTGATTACAGGAAAGAAGCAGCCAGGCATCCGACATCAAACCCACTCACAGTAAGTGTGGACATAGAGACTCAGACTGAGTTCTGGTTGTCTTACCTGTGTGTCTGTTCCCCAGTGACAGTCTCCGTTCTCTGAGGCGGTCAGGTCCTCCACCAGCACGGACGGAAAGACGCCCACTCGACCATTAAACTCGCCCTCCCAGAAGCCGTCGTCCTCCTGGTTGTCCTTGTTGAGGATGCGGATGATGGCTCCCTCAGGGAATGACAGCTCGTCATCCGTCTGACCCTCGTAGTCATACATGGCCTTGACAAAACTCACTGGGAGAGACGAAGAAGGAAAGAAAGAGTTTATTAATACAGCTCGGTCAGGTTAGACGGCATACTGGATTTAATGCAGGTACAAGCGAGGCTGTGAGTGATAGACTTGCAGTCTTTACAATGGCACGCACTGTTTAAAGGTCTGAGATCAAGTCATTTTCACAACTTGCAGCTTTCAAAAGTGTTTTATGAATGAATGAATGATGCATTTATATAGCGCTTTAATGTGTGTGCTGTACACCCCCGGGGGGGGGGGCTCTCCTCAACCAAACCAGAATTAGTATTTTATGGAGTTTTTGTCTGCGAAAAGTTTGGGGTCTGTAAGATTTAATTAGAAATGTAATTTATTGCTGTGATCAAAGCTGATTACTCCAGTCTTCAGTGTCACATGATCCTTCAGATATCATTCTAATATGCTGATCTGCTGCTCAAGAAACATTTCTGATTATTATCAATGCATTTTTTTTCTTCAAGATTCTTTGAAATCTTTTGAAATTTAAATCTTTTGTAACATTACAAATGCCGTTGCTGTTACTTTTGATCAATTTAATTCATCCATGCTGACTAAAATGGTTTCTTTCAGAAATGTCGAATAATTTTTTTAGACCTCATTTATTTCTAGGCTGATTCCCTGATATTTTAAAGTTCTCCATGTTTGCAAAAACAAAACAACATGACACATTTTCATGTAAAAAGGTCAGAATGAACATCTAGATGCGTTGCCATCTGCGTGTGTGTGTGTGAGACTCACTGCTGCTGTCTCCGTTGAAGCTGCCTGATGCCAGCTCAGGCTCAGTGGAGTTGCTGGAGGAGTGTGAGCGTGCGTCCAGAGCAGCGAGGGACTGGAGCATGCTCAGCACGCTGTTGGACGTGGGGAACTGCAGGTACTTCTCTGGGACGTAGCCCACCTGACCGGACTTATTCCGCGCCTGGAACCAACCATGACAACATTCAGCAGCAGTCACCCAAACACAATCTGCAGACTTGAATCCCATTTTCTTCATTGACTTTGGGAGAAAAAACTCAGCAACTGATCTAAACATGATGAATGGGTTAAACAGTGCTAAGAATCAGAATCAGATCAGAATCGACTGCTAAGAGTAATCAAATGATTAAAAATAATAATAGTCAATTGATAATAATCACCAAAATATTTACTAACCAAACATGCAAGGACAAAGACCCACTCTGCAGAAAGTTCCACAGAATTCAAACAACCGGCATTCAAAAAGTTTGCGAATGGAACTTTCGGAACAACACTGGAATTCAAATGGAATCTACAGACTTTAATATCCTTTTCTGTGAAGTTAAAGATCGTGTTTAAAACGTGTTAAAGTATGCATGAAATGAAGATTAATTCTACATATTTTTTTAAATGAATGTTACAGATCATATTGTGAACGATTCATCCATGCATACTTTTTTTTTGACCTTGTAATTTTAAAATCAAAATGTCATGGATCTACTGGATGTTCCAGTGAAAGCGCCAGTCTTCTCTCTGGCAATGTATGCTGAACTTATTTCTGAGATTAACGCTCATCTCAAAATCCAATCTGCAACGTCACATAGAACCAAGATCCCGTCCTACGGTTTTTCTCTGTCTATAATCGGTTACACTGTGATATAAGTCACAACTCGAACAAAAAGATGTAGCTACTTTTATTTCACTGCAACTTTAAACAGAACTAAAAGAATAATAATGATTCATAAAATAATAATAAACAAAAAAATAACTAATCAAACTCATAAACAGGCTCACATGCAATCTGCAACCATTCAAAATTCAGCAGAACGTTCCACAGTTTTCCAAAGAATTCAAACAAGTGTCATTCAAAAAGTTTCGGTGTAGAGCTTTGGGAATAACCAGAATTGAATTGGAATTCTGTGTAAATCTCATCTTGAGATGCAAGACACAAAAATCCTTTTCTTCTGTACCTCTTATTGAATTGCAGTCTGATTGAAAGAAACTTCAGCAGGTTGTGTTGAACTGGTTTGATTGGTTTACCTTCACCCAGTCCTCCATGTCTCCATCTTCTATAACCTCCAACATCTCATGCTCATCAATGGTTAGTTCATCGGGCTGAGAGGCCTGAGAGAAAGAGAGAGGTTAACAGATTATTGTGCAATGCAAGGTCAACACTGTTTAGTAGATAATCAATCAAAGTTTTTCATCTAATATTTATATTTTATTTTATTTTATTCCACCTTTATTTCTAAAAACAAAAAAGATTTGTACTAAATTTAGTTCCAGTTAACAACCAACAGCACTGGTCGCCACACTTTTCGGTTCGATCCTAAGCCCCAGTGAAGTGTATGAGTCGGTCTGTTTTACCTTGTATGAGTAGAGCACCTTGCAGGTGAGCGGGTAGTTCCTCAGGGTTCCTGACGGACTCGAGCTGCTGTCGTCGTACGTCTCCATGTTCTCTTCTAATTCTTCTCCTTCCTCTCTGTCCAATTCCACCGTGGTCTACAGAAACACCACAATGAGTGTCACTTCACTGACAAACAGCACTTGTTGCTTCAGTATCGGTCAATAAGTTTTCAAAAGTCTGGCAGAGGGCTTTCTTTGCGAGCTAACATACAACGGCATGAAACAAACAGACCAATAGACCAACATTCCATAGGTGTGCACTCTACTCAATGTCCGCCCACTCTGATAGGATAATCTCATTGGTCTAGAGAGGATCAGGTGACCATTTTTTCTCCAGGAGACAAAACGTGGCAAAAAGAAGAATAAAATCATCAACAAAGGACACAGACATTGGACACTCATACCTTCACAGGTGCTCAATGTGCATCTCACAGATCCGGATTCAACTGGCTACAGTAACGGATGAAAACTAATCCCGAGTCAGTCAGTGAAGGTCAAGAGAAAGTATTATAAAAATATTATTGGGAGATACGTAGAGTGACAGCTGATATTGATATGCATTTAATGTAAGTAGTCTGTTATATTGTTATAAAATCTCTTTGATTTACATTACAAACTATCAGAATGTCATCATTTTTTGGCCAAATAAAAATCAGCATCTGTACCAAATTGCACATTTTTGCTCAGTTTTGGCCTCTGAATAAATATCTACTATATGAGCCATAAAAGCCTGATGATACGCAACAAAGAGCATTTGCATATATATATATATATATTTATTGCATTTTTTTTGTATTTTGTCTAAGAGTTCAGTAAACTGTTCCAATAATAAAATAAAAAAATAAAATAAAAGTTTTTATAACTATTATTGCATATGTCAGGCTTTACAGGCTTGAAGATTTATCTCCGCACAGATGTGTGAAAACTAGCTACAATAGCATTCTCTTTTCATTTCATATATGCTTTTATCATCTCCTCTCATTCTCTCATCCTAAAATATCCTCGTCTGAAAATAAAGCGAGGGACAGAGATCAGCAAAAGCGTGGTTCAGTTTAGTCCAGGTTTACCAAACTCACATCAGTTGCTGCTGTCTCTTGTCTTTACTTTTCTTACGTCTCTCTGTCCGTGTGCTGCAGGGTGCTGTGAGCTGAATATTAAACCACAGACGGAGGTCAATCTGTCTACGCTGTGGGCTAAACTCCACTACATTATTTATATTTCTGCTGTCTTACTTAAAATCACTCAATCTTTACAATGACCTTGATGCACTACGCTACACTCGTGCTTTACACTATGTGGATGTTTTAGCCTCACAGTGCTTCACACTTGTGCTTAACCACATTACTGCACTATTCTCATACTTTACTCAAGTACTATGGTGTTCATAGATTTATACTCAAATTTGACCTCTGATTAGTCAACTTGCAACACATGCTTTTCACTGACGCTCTTCTAGTGCAAGACATCCTGCAAGAGAGCAAAAAGGCTTTAAAAAAGTGTCTATTATTAATTTAGCAGATGCATTTACCAAGAAAAAGTGAGAACAAGATTATTATTATAATTATTTTGTAAAACAGGAGCTATTACAGTATGTGCCTTTGTTTATGGTTGTGGATTAGTTAGGTGCTTGCAGAAGAGGTGCGCCTTTATTTATTTACTATAAATAAAAAATAAAAAAATGTATAATCTTTAATAATAATAATACATTTTTAAAATATAACAAATGATAAGCATAATTAATACATAATATAAATGTCTATTTATTTATTATAAATAAGTACAATTATTTATAATTTTTTTAATACAATAATATAAATATAATAATAATGATGATAAAATATACATAATTTGTAAACATAATACATGACAAATATAATAAGTGTCACTATTCTCCCCAAAACTCATAGCTCAGTCACATCTTCTAGCATCTCAAAGGGATGGGTCTCACATGTGTAGAGGAATGTAGGTGGCGTTTGGCTGCAGTGATCAACTATATTTCTCTCTGCCGTGGCATATGTGGCGAACTGTTTGTTTAGGCTGGTCTGAATACAATGGTGCTGACAGATTCAGGAAGGAGCAGGGGCCAATTGCCTAAACATAATATGTTAAGACTGTGTCTTAAGAACTAGATTGACTAAATAGCAGTTAATCAAGTGGTAACCGGTCTTACTTTTCTGATTCAAATTAGACCGATATATGTTTTTATGTAACTGATTAAAAAAAATAATAAACGGTTATTAGCAGTCTTTCAGAATAAAATTAGATGACTAACTTTTAAGACTAGTCTAAGCAGTTTATGCAACCGGCCACAGATCGGGGAGGTTGGCATGACTCTTATTGACTCTAAACGTTCACCTGGAAACTGAAAGCGCAGGTGAGAAAATCTGCATGTAAACCCTTTGACAGGGACTTAGATTTTTAATAAAGAGGGTGCTCACTGAGAGAGAGAGGTCGTGGGTGGTGAGGGTGGGCAGCGACGCCCAGCGCTCGTTCTCCAGCTCTTCCATCACCTGGTTCATGGCGCTCTTCAACCATGTGTCCACAGAAACACCCACCTGCCGCAGGAGGTCCAGACGCACTTCTGCTTTCAGCTTTATCGTCTGAAAAACACAAAGGAACATAGTCCTGTTCATACAATTAAGTTTAAGAAATTAATTCGTTTAAGTAATATAATTACTAAAACTGAAATAAAAATTAAAGTTAAATAGAAATATAAAATAAAAAATAAACTAATAAAAATGACAAAAGTACATAACAAAATGAAGAAAACACTAATATTGAAATAAAAGCAAAAAAATAAAAAACAAAAGCTTTGAAAAAAATATCTGTTCTGTTCATACAACAGCTTGCATGTACTCTAGTAAAGCAACTGAAATTAAAATGATAAAAGTTTTTGGTAATTGAAAATGGTTTAAACCATGAAGAATGAAAATTAAAATATTGCATAGGCAACTAAATGAAACAAATAAGTTGAAGTTGAATTCTGATGACTAAACTTAAAACGAAATAAACAAAAGTTAAATAGAAATATTAAAAAAACATAATAAAAATGACAAAAGCACATACAATTATAAAAGGTTAAAAAAATTACAATGAAAACTACAAATAAAAAAGCTAATAAAAAAAAAAAGATAGATTCTGTTTATACAACAAGCTTACATATACTATAGTTTTCAAGCAACAAATAAAATGTAAAAAAGTTGAAATACTTAAATGACAAACTAAAAAATAAATAAAAGAAAACTAAAACTAAGCAGAAACATAAAAACACTAATAAAAAAATAAAGACAAAAACACAAAATCTTAAAGCTAAAATTAAAACCTGGAATTCAAAATACCAATACAACTATTACTAAAATAACAGTCCAGGTTTACCAAACTCACTTTTAAAATGCAAATTTGCAGTCACTTTTTGCAATGCTATTAAGTTTATATGAAGCCATATATTCTACTGCTGTATGAAAGTAGCTTCTGAAAGCAAAAAGGCTGCATTTTAAAAGACCAGCTAACGTCAGACAGAGGAAAACAAACAAGATGAAGCTGCTGGGAGTGCGAGTGTCCCGTCCCATCTCTGATGCTCAATAATGTCTGGGGTAGTTGTGCTCATTAGACAGGTGAAGCGTCTGATCTCTGAGCATCCTACAGCTGTCCACCAGCTTCAGCATTTCTCATGATCAGGCAACGGTGCAAATTAACTTTCTGAAGACTCATCAGTTTCAATTTAGACAACAAACAGCTTTCAAAAGCGGTTTCAGTGTGGAAACCTTACGCACGACTCCCTCAGTTGTACTGTACTGTAATTCTGAGGGGACGAGAAATTTCAAAGGAAATAATTAAAGCGCAATTATACTTTTCATATTTGTTGATGAGTAAACATAGATTCCTCTGGCACATTGCCTGGTTCCGAAAACAGCTTAACATTTCCAAACTTTATGTTTCATTCCTTATTCTGTTTGTTGTGTTTTTGCTGGCTGTCCATTAGTTCTTAATGGGGTTATTAAATATTTAACGGTCTGTAAGAACTAATGGAGAACTATAATTTGGCTTCAAGCATTCTGAGTTCAAGGGGCAAAGCAAAGATGGTGTTTTAGTCTATTAAATTCTCTGTTAAATACTCATACTTACTGTCATGAATTGGTCTCATCTAAAAATGTCAACTCTGTCATCATTTGCTCACTCTCATATTGTTCCAAACCCATATGACATTCTAATGAGGAATTTGCACTTATGCATATTCAGATTTGGTGGGATTTTATCAGTTACAAGACATGCAAGAACCAATTTGGATGCTAGAGCAAGCAATGCTGGAGAGCATCATTTTCGGGGAATAGAACATTAAATTTCAAGCTATTGTATGATTTACAAAGACTTATAGCACACTTTTATGGTTCATTTATTGTCTGTTTTTGAGTTTGACATCTCTTGGTCATTGTATGAATATTAACTTAATCTATTACATTTTTTTTTCATTAATTGAAAAAGAGCAGAAATAAAATATAAGCATTTGATGAAAAATGTAATAATGAATAAAACTAAATAATAGAAATAAATGTATTTAATGTTATAATAAATGTTTACGTTGAAGTAGTAAATGACTAAAACTGAAATAAAAAGAAATACTAAAAAGAAAAAAACAAACTAATAAAAATAAATAAATTAAAATGACAACTGAAAATAAAATAAACTAATTTAAAATAAAGACAGGTAGATAGAAATAAGTTTAATTCCTAAAATTACCAAAACTAAAACTGAAATAAAGCTAAATAGAAATATAAAAACAAAAACTAATAAAAATGACAAAAGCAACAGTAACCAAATTAATAACAATTAAATTAAAATGAAAACTGAAAATAAAAAAATCTAATTAAAAGATAGCTAGATTGTCCTGTTCACAAAATAACTTACATTTACTGTAATATTCAACAGTTACCTATGAATAACTAGTTGTCCAGTGTAGTTCAGTTCAGTCCAGTATTGTTATTGATAACTACAACTATTAAAATAGCTTTCATCATTGAAAATAAAACTGAAATAAAATAAAATATTGATATTAAATGAAAACCTTAATAAATATTTAACTAAATAAATATGATCTCCCAAAACTTAGAATACTGCCCATTTTTATGGTTAATTTATTTCTTAGTCATTGTGTCCTGCCAGTGCATGGAAGAGCCATTCAGAATATCCACAGAATTTATTCTTCAAGGAATAATGAAGTCATATGGGCTTGGAGCCACATGAGGGTGATTCAATGATGACACAATTGTCATTTTTGGATGTACTATTCCATTAATATATCCTATATAACAGAGGCCAGAGGCAGGGCCAGCAGAGGGCGCCTCGACTGCTGGATTCACAGGTAAAGACGCACAGGACATCTTAGAGAAGACACATCCATCAGACAAAGAGACTGACAGCCTGTATCTGAACAGATCGATAGCGAGAGAGAGAGAGAGAAAATGCACCTCCGTTTGGAAAGGGAAATGCATTCATTACAGAAAAACAGAGACATTATTACGAAGTACTTCTGCCTTGTTTTGTCTCAGAAAAACAAATGAAATGCTACTCTAATAAATGCACTATACAAAACTATTCTGTTCAAACGTACACGTTTGCAGTACAAGTAAATAGAGATGGACACCATCAAGCTCTAAAAATGGTAATCTAGACTAATGATTTTTCAAAGATGTAAATAAAACAAAGATTATGAAGTATTTACAAGACAACACTACTTTAAGATTTATGTTTAATTCAATTTACTTGCCGTTTTGTTGTAATTAATTTACTAGCAATTTCTGAGTGAAATTTTTTGCACTATATTCTAAGTCTTCTCAAGTGATATGAGAGCTTTGTGCTAGAAAAAGACAAAACTAAAAGCTAAAACTCCTCTCCAGTCCAATCTTTTACTGCAGAGCAAAAAGCAGCGTGAACATCCTGCTAAACTTCTCCTTTTGTGTTCCTCAGAATAACATGGTGAGCGTCAGGGTGCGAACTACGGGGGCACTCGTCTCCCCTTAATAAGACATGGGCTCCCCAGAAAACGTGATTTGTGAAATTTTGGGGGGTCTCAAAAATATTGACAATGTGTTATTTTGATGTGCAATTTCAGTTTTGTGTAATGTGATCATCGTGGATTACTATGTGTAAAATTGCAAAAATATCATTCATTCAAGCATGACGGCGATTTAAACCTAATTCACTTCAATAAAGATAACTATACATGCTATTTTTGTCATGAGCATCAAGGTGTAGCAAATTCCACTCATGTTTAGTACATGTTAACTCAAAGATTCGTTGAAAAAATATAAACGTTGGACTCTGTGGTCGATTCTGTGTTAAGGTAAGGCATGTTATTTGCAATTATGTGTTGTGGCTGGGTTGTTATAGGTCTGCGTGACTCTCGATGTCTTAGGCCTAACTGAACGGAGAAATTATGCTATTCTTCTGTAGCCTGACGACGAGTAATCGTTGTTCATGTGAACTCAAAGACAGCCTGATGCTTTGTTTATAGACTATTTGTGGGTGGCTGTTTGTTGTTTCACCCATCAATTCGTGTCAATAAAGCATAATAGGGTAAATCCTGTATAGTGATTTATCTTACATAGCGCTTGCATAAAGCAAGTAGTGCATATACTTGTAGCTGTTATGTATATTTGTAAGTCCCCACGCGCAAGCAGACGAACCCAAACCCCCTCCCCCCCGTTATAAAAAAAACAAGTGGCTCCCCGGTATAGTTCGAACACTGGTGAGCGTCATTACGTCACCTCTGCTTTGCGGATGCTCTCCTTGGCCTCCTCTATTCGGAATTCCAGCTCATTCCGGCTCTGTTCCGTGGGCAGAGTCCCGAGCGTCTCGCATTCCTCTAGAGCCTGCCATAAAAACAAATTACCGTTAATCAGCTCAATTCAATTAGCTCATCGAGCAACTAACCTACGAAAAAAAACAGCATCAGACCACATTTCCTGCTACTAATCTAACAATCACACAGGACACACGCACAACGTTTAACCGAGTGATTCACATTCCTGAATTATGACCAGACTTTCCCCTGAATATCACAAAACCTTTTCAGAAACTATGAGGTCATATTTTTACCCCAGGATCAACAAGAAAGGAATAAGAATAGAAAGAAATTACAATTTACAAATGTAAAATGTCCAGCATTTGGGGCTGGTACTCACTGAATTGTCATAAAATTAAATAAAAAAGTATAATTTTAATAATTTTATGATTATTAAATACACAATATTGCAATACAAATAATACTGTCTAATATTATACTGCAATATGTTTTAAATAAAATACTGTAATTTTACTGTACGGTAATTAAAACCTAATAACAATCACAACTGAGAATAACGTGAATTACAAACAAACACATAAATAATATGTATATATAAATAACCTCAACTGTAAAATGTCCAGAATTTGGGGTTGGAACTCACTGAATTTTCGTGAAAAAAATAAAACGGTTAAAACAATAAAAACTGTTAATTATTTCTTTTTCTTCTTTTTTTTTTAATTTTGTGGATTTAGACGTCCTGTGAAACAGTAAGTTATGTCTTAGTCATTTGTAATTCAATTATTAATTTTCATCACAACAGAATTTGTAGCAAATCCTCAAATGTAAAATGTCCAGAATTTGGGGCTGGATCTCACCAAATTGTCATGAAAATAAAATAATATAGCAATACAAATAAAACTGGAATATACTTTATAGCAATGTTTTATTGTAGATAAAAATACTGTCTATCCAGTAAATACAATCTAACTACAATCACCACTGAGAATAATGCAAATTACAAAAGTAAATAAGTAAACTAGACAAACTCTCAAATGTAAAATGAGTCCAGATTTAGAGGTTTTTTTTCTCTTTTAGTTTTGTAGATTCATGTGACACGAACATGATCAAGAGATTAAACCTCTTGTGAAACAGTAAGCTTCTGTCTCAGCCATTTGTCTCTCAACTGAATGTGTAAGATTTTTCACAAGATTCATCCACTTACAGAAGATGTTTAAGTGTGTGTGTTGCTGATGTTTGTATGACATCCAGCGCCTCTCACCCGTTTGTAATGGATGATGTTTTTGTGTTCGCGGGCCACACGTGTGGCCCATTTCCTCGCCTATAGACTATTTGTGGGTGGCTGTTTGTTGTTTCACCCATCAATTCGTGTCAATAAAGCATAATAGGGTAAATCCTGTATAGTGATTTATCTTACATAGCGCTTGCATAAAGCAAGTAGTGCATATACTTGTAGCTGTTATGTATATTTGTAAGTCCCCACGCGCAAGCAGACGAACCCAAACCCCCTCCCCCCCGTTATAAAAAAAACAAGTGGCTCCCCGGTATAGTTCGAACACTGGTGAGCGTCATTACGTCACCTCTGCTTTGCGGATGCTCTCCTTGGCCTCCTCTATTCGGAATTCCAGCTCATTCCGGCTCTGTTCCGTGGGCAGAGTCCCGAGCGTCTCGCATTCCTCTAGAGCCTGCCATAAAAACAAATTACCGTTAATCAGCTCAATTCAATTAGCTCATCGAGCAACTAACCTACGAAAAAAAACAGCATCAGACCACATTTCCTGCTACTAATCTAACAATCACACAGGACACACGCACAACGTTTAACCGAGTGATTCACATTCCTGAATTATGACCAGACTTTCCCCTGAATATCACAAAACCTTTTCAGAAACTATGAGGTCATATTTTTACCCCAGGATCAACAAGAAAGGAATAAGAATAGAAAGAAATTACAATTTACAAATGTAAAATGTCCAGCATTTGGGGCTGGTACTCACTGAATTGTCATAAAATTAAATAAAAAAGTATAATTTTAATAATTTTATGATTATTAAATACACAATATTGCAATACAAATAATACTGTCTAATATTATACTGCAATATGTTTTAAATAAAATACTGTAATTTTACTGTACGGTAATTAAAACCTAATAACAATCACAACTGAGAATAACGTGAATTACAAACAAACACATAAATAATATGTATATATAAATAACCTCAACTGTAAAATGTCCAGAATTTGGGGTTGGAACTCACTGAATTTTCGTGAAAAAAATAAAACGGTTAAAACAATAAAAACTGTTAATTATTTCTTTTTCTTCTTTTTTTTTTAATTTTGTGGATTTAGACGTCCTGTGAAACAGTAAGTTATGTCTTAGTCATTTGTAATTCAATTATTAATTTTCATCACAACAGAATTTGTAGCAAATCCTCAAATGTAAAATGTCCAGAATTTGGGGCTGGATCTCACCAAATTGTCATGAAAATAAAATAATATAGCAATACAAATAAAACTGGAATATACTTTATAGCAATGTTTTATTGTAGATAAAAATACTGTCTATCCAGTAAATACAATCTAACTACAATCACCACTGAGAATAATGCAAATTACAAAAGTAAATAAGTAAACTAGACAAACTCTCAAATGTAAAATGAGTCCAGATTTAGAGGTTTTTTTTCTCTTTTAGTTTTGTAGATTCATGTGACACGAACATGATCAAGAGATTAAACCTCTTGTGAAACAGTAAGCTTCTGTCTCAGCCATTTGTCTCTCAACTGAATGTGTAAGATTTTTCACAAGATTCATCCACTTACAGAAGATGTTTAAGTGTGTGTGTTGCTGATGTTTGTATGACATCCAGCGCCTCTCACCCGTTTGTAATGGATGATGTTTTTGTGTTCGCGGGCCACACGTGTGGCCCATTTCCTCGCCTCTTTGTTGAGACTGTGTTCTTCGGTGGTTCCCGTCTCCGATTCCAGCTGTCGACTCTGAAAACCACACACACACACACACAACTGGTTACCACAGCAACACACACCTGCCGGAATCACAGGTCTGAGATCAGACCACTAACTCGTTACATTCACAATTAAAAACACAAAAGCACAGATCCAGAACAGTGCTGAGAACATTTCACCATTTAAAGAAATTAACACTTTTATTAAAAAAGGATGCATTAAAATTAGCAAAAGTGATAATAAAGACATTTATAAATGTTACAAAATTTCTATTTCAAATAAACACTGTTCTTTTGAACGAAGTATCCTGAAAATCACAGTTTCCACAAAAATATTTAACTGTTTTTAACATCATCATAATAATCAGAAATGTTTCTTGAGCAGCAAATCAGCATATTAGAATGATTTCTGAAGATCATGTGACACTGAAGACTGGAGTAATGATGCTGCAAATTCAGCTTTGATCACAGAAATAAACTACATTTTAAAATATATTGTATATATATATATATATATATATATCTGACCTTATTGAAAGATAGAATCATCTTTCAATAAGAAATAGTCACCATATTCTGTCCAATTCAAAAAGAACAACACATGCAAATGACAGTATCCTGAGACATGACTGGCGTATGCTGATCTGACAGTTTTGCAGACGTCGCATTCTTGCGTGTGTGAATATTTGATTCTGACAGCACTGATCAATACAAACTCAATCAGAGCACTTTAACACAAGCGTCTTCACTCAATATCGCCACATCTATCTGATGTCAACACTAGTCATGGCTGACAAGAGTTTCTCGAAAGGCACAAAAACCCATCGCTCTCTTTTTTACGTCTTCCTGTTTTTCCTCTCAGCGTGACCTTAAGCAGATGTGGCGTATGCGTTGCCCGAGTCCTCTGGGAAACACATGACAGTCTGCAGGGTCTCCATCTGGATCAGAAACGCTCACGAAGGCCTAATCAATCCCATGCGTCTCTGCTTCAAACTCTGAGACATGCTTTCTGGGAGAGCGTGATGGAATGCATGCGACTTTGACGCTTTCTGCATGTCTGTATAATGGAAAATATTGTGTCTGTGTGTGTATGTTTGCACTGTTGATCAATCCCAGCAACTGTCTCTTTGAGTGTTAGATGTGTCAGAGTCTTTCAACAGCAAACACCGTAAGGATTCAACAAGCAAGCTACAGCGTTATAGTGTAAAAGCCACTTCTTTTGTGGAATTTTCCCTGAATTCCACCATATTTTAGTCAAAGTTACTAGCAAGTAAAAGATATAAACCGCAAACAAACTTCAGGGAGAAAAAGAACTGACTGAAACTACATTATCCAGCTAATCACAAATAATAAACAGAATACTTATTTTACCGAGGAATTTACCAATTAATTCTTTAAAAATCCTACAATGTGATTTTCTGGATTTTTTCTCTTCTCATTTTGTCTCTCATAGTTGAGGTATACCTATGATGAAAATTACAGGCCTCTCTCATCTTTTTAAGTGGGAGAACTTGCACAATTGGTGGCTGACTAAATACTTTTTTGCCCCACTGTAAGAAATAGCTATTTAAAATTAAATGTACATTTAAATAATTTGTTACATGAGACAATAATCAACGTAGACACATCAGCACAGTGTAGGAAATCAGATATCTGAGATGACAATCAATAATAGAGTTAAGTGTCATTACACAAAAATATCTGACCACAGAAAACCATGACTGACCAATCAGAATAGAGTATTCCAGTGATGCGTAGTACATCATTCTTATTTAAAAGGTACAGCGTGTAATTTGAATGTGATATATACCTCAAATGAAATATAAATATAAATTACAATTAATATTAACTAATATATACTGTATAATTAGCATAATATGAATTAATACATATTAACATCAGGAATTTCTGTAAATCAGCTTTGAAACTGTATTGTGAAAAGCTTTATACAAACAACTGACTTGAATAAATATAAATATAAATTACTATGAATATTTCTTAATATTAACTAATACACATGATATTAATTAACACATATCAACATCATGCATTTCTGTAAAGCTGCTTTGAAACGGTGTATTGCCAAAAAACATTAAACAAATAAAACTGACTTGACAAAATATAAATATATAATAATAATAAAAGTACTATCTCTCTCTCTCTCTATATATATATATTCTGCACCACTAGTGGCACCCATTGGTCAGACAAACAGACAGACCCATCATACAGTTAAACCACTGGTTGTGCCAATACTGTTTTCACACCTGACCGGGTCAATCAAATTCATAGACTGTAATTTGGATTGGTGCTGCTAGTGGTGCAATAATTACACACTTCACTTCTAAAAAGGAACAACGAAAGACTTCAATTCCATGATGAAAATTTCCCTTTACATTTGTGCACAGGCTGATCTCAGCATGCAAACAACAACAATGACGGGTTGATGGCTGCACGAGACTGATGCATGATGGGAAATCAAGTCCAACAGACAGTGTGGTACCTGTGCCAGAGTCATTCTCATCACACTGACCGTCGATGGCTCAATGTCCACCAACTGCTGCACAGAACTCAGAGTCTGAGCCAGAGAGGAGGAAAGATGGGCACACGCACGCACACACCACACACACACACACACACAAGGTGGGTTTAAGAGAAGGTTAGAAACAGACTGTTAGAGGACAGAAAAACAGGGTTAGAATCAGCTGAGCAGTCAGAAAGATGTCAGAGACGTTAACGTTAGCAGAAGCAGTACCTACTAACTACTAGAGCCGTGAGAGAGAACAATTACACTACAGGATTCAACACTGAACTATAGGAAGATGGAAGGAAGAGAGAGAGAAAGATAAAGAGAGAAAGCAAATGCTAACCTTACAGTTAGTTGTGGGGTGTTTGAGAGTGATTAAATGCTGATTGATTAATTGCTGTTACTCAACTAATACATTTTTAGCAAAACTGTGGTCTGTGATCATTCCAGCTGTCAAAACCACACAAAAGACATCTGAAGCTAGATGATGATAATTTGATATAAGTTAATTAATATTACTTTATTAGTTAAAGGGATAGTTCACCCAAAAATGAAAATTTTATGTTTATCTGCTTACCCCCAGGGCATTCAAGATGTAGGTGACTTTGTTTCTTCAGTATAACACAAACGAATATTTTTAACTCAAACCGTTGCAGTCTGTCAGTCTTTATAATGGCAGTCAACGGGCTCCACGGCTTTGAGAGTAAAAAAAGACATACACAGATAAAACCAAATTAAACCCTGTGGCTCGAGACGATACATTGAGGTCTTAAGACACAAAACGATCGGTCTGTGCAAGAAACTGAACAGTATTTATATCATTTTTTACCTCTGATCCACCGCAATGTCCAACTGTCCTGAGCGCATTCACAACATCCGGCGCGTGATGTCAAATAAATATGGTTGGGCAAAAAATTCCACGTTGTCTGATGATATATCAAAATCGTCTTCCATTGTGATGACCTGTACTTCTAAATATCTTTGGATCATCGCAGAGCCAGTGAACACGTCCACAATCTCTCTGCACTGTGTAAATAATGAGTGACGTATACGCGCGACAGTTCGCTTCCGCACATGCGTCTACCATCATAGATATGTATATATTCCCTATTCGACTGCTCCAGATACGTTGACGCGTCCTCCATTTTAGAATGTATCGCGGCCCATAGAAACAGTCACTAATGAGGCATCTACTTATATATATCTATGTCTACTATGCCAGAGCACGTACACGCGTCACAACCGGACATTGTGAGGTGCTCAGACATTGCGGTGGATCAGAGGTAAAAAATTATAAAAACACTATTCAGTTTCTTGCACAGACCGATCGTTTCGTGTCTTAAGAC